TATATATATAGGTTGCTATATTAGACTCACAGAATATGATGGCTGTTGCCATGTTTTGCAGCCATAGTTTAATTTATAGAGTAAATATATAACCCAAATTGTTTCTGGTGACTGTTTTCATCCAACACCTGCAGTCCGCTAAATCTCCCCCTCATTAAAAGCCTAGATGTAACATGCACAGTCCTCCACTGGTAAGAAAAAAGAATTTCCATTTTGTGTCAAATACAACTTAAACTTTAAGCATCAGCATATTAAAAAACAAATCTTTTTATGCTTTAATTTAACCTATTTAATTTGAATTTTGGTAAGCATTTCCAGTTTCACTGAGAGGTTTGGCTCATTTCCTCTCACGCCACCAAACAGAGATTTTCTTAAATGTTTTTTGTCGTGTAGCTCATAAAAATTGTGACTGACAAACCTGGCGAGAATCTGGATGATGTACCAAACAAAGAGGAGATGAATGTGTAGGAAACTAACATAACAGTGAATTTCTTAACATTGGGGCTATGTTAGCATACATAAGAGGAGCTGAAAACCATGAAGCAGGATCATGTTTATGAATCTGGCCCCAGTACAAAATAAAATCACCATTTGCAGTGGTGGGCAGCACTAATCTAAAAATTTGTTCCGCTAACCCTGAAACACTAACTCAAATATTTAGGTCCCCTAATCCTAAAGCACTAATGCACTGAAAGTTTTAGCAAAAGCTAATTCTAAAGCACTAAAAACCCAGCACTAATCAGGAAATTAGTTCCCCTGTTAATGCTTTAGTGCTTTAGGGGAACTGCCCACCTCGGACCATTTGGTATCCTATAGAAATGTTGATCTGGTAAATGGCTACATTTTTATAAAACATTACTGTCTCTAATTATTGTTTTGACTGGACTTCCACGTGTAAGAGTCATATAAAGTACGTGAACAAAACCCACAATGATAAAGGTCTTAGATGAGCTTGAGTTAGTTGAGGAGAAAAAAATATAATACAACTTTATGCAGTTATTAAAAAATGTTTTAAACAAACTTTAATCAAAGCATCTGTTTAAAATTAAACAAAATCAGGGCCTATATGTTACTCATATCCTTGTAATTTGACTTCTGGAAAGCATGAATTTTATTGAGAGCAGCAGTTTTGTTTCCAGTTTTCATACCACAAAACAGATATTTTCTTAAATGCTGTTTAAAAACAGTGTCTCTTAGTCCGTATACAATGGGACTGACAAACCTGGGAAGAATATGAATGAGGATGTACCAAACAAAGACGATGTGAACATAATGTGTTGGGAACAGATATACTGATGAGTTTTTAAACATGTGGTARACATATGTCAGCATACATAAGAGGAGCTGAAAGCCATGAAGCAGGATGGTGTTTCTGGCCTTTTTTGCTTTTCCATCAGATGAATTAGCTGCTTTAGCAACAAAGAAGATCTTGCAGTAGGTAAAAAAGAGAGTGAGCCAAACTCCTGTTAAATAAACTATATATGAAACTTCCCTCTTTTGTGTACTTACTGGGTGTCGGAAGAAAGTATCCCTGTCACATAAAATAGAGGAAAAGAATAGCCATTGTGGRTCTGTAGCCAGAGTTAGAAAGACATCAGGCATGAATGACAATACACTCAAAATCCAAATACAAACATTCAGAATATAAGTTCGTCTGACGGTGCAGAGCTCAGCGTGTCTCAGAGGGAAGCACACAGCGATGTAGCACTCCACAGCCATTGTAGCTAAAATTAAAGGAGTGTTGTGGGTGGTGAAAAGTGCAAAAACAAGAAGGAAGCAACAGAGTGAAGCATTAATTTTATAGAAGACGTAACTGATGAGAAACAGGCTGACTGCAYTTGTGAGCTGGATCATATCGTTCACCACCAGATGGATGAACAGGATGTAACGAGGATTCATGTAAAACACCTGAAAAAGAGTTATTTTCTGTTTATTATTTTATTTTATTTTGATAGTTCTAAGCATTAGTTTAACTTCACAGATCATTCAGAAACAGTTAAACACACTAAAGCAGACCTGGTGTTTTCTGAAGGTGTGGATCAGTGTGCCGTTAATGTAGTTGATGATGAGGCCGAGGGTGACGACGATCACATTTTTCACTGCAGCTGAGGTAGAGGTGTCTCGATTACTCAGACTGCTGGACACACTGAAGTTATAGGAAGAGGAGTTCATGGAGCTGATGGGGTTTGTTTTTTGAATAAGAGGGAAAAAAATCTGTTTTAAGTTTTAATCTTCAAGTTTCTTTGCATCTTTAAACTAAAGTCAAGACAAAATGCAATGAATAATAAAAGTTGTGGAAACTTTGTGTTTTATGATTAATCCCCACTGTAGTTCTAACTAATACTTTCTATCAAACATTAGAGCCATGTTATAGCATTAACAAGAAAAGTATAGTTTCTTTTTATTTCTCAAATTATTCAGTTCTTTAACAACTTTAAATGAGGAAAACATTTGTAAGGAATGAGTGATAACCTTTCAAACATGTATAATGAATGTATTTTTGAAAATAGATTATAGCATCATGTAGTCTTAGAACATGTATGC